AAAAAAAAAAAAAAAAAAAATTTGGGGGATAAAATTTTTAGCAGTTTTAGTACATCTTCATGTTATGAAATGGAACATAAATGTTATTGAAACTTGCAAATTTTTTTTTTTTAATTATAGAAACAGGGTCTCAGGGTGTTGGCGTGGTTGGTCTCAAACTTTTATAGGTATTCTAGTTGTGAAGCACCACACCTGCTCAAATCATTTTATTCTGAAGTGTAGTCTCTACAAATTGTCTTTAAAAGTGTGAATGGTAAGTTAAATTCTTGCATGACTTTTCTTTCCAAATAAAATTACTTAGGGAGAATTTTCTCCCCCCATCAGTGTGGGCTCAAATAGTGCATCTTGTAAGTAATACCCTTGACTACTCAGAACACTCGGCTGAGTCAGGGAGATCCTACACAAAGGTGTTTCATTGGTTTTATTTCACAAGGAAACACCATGAAGTGAAGCCATCTATTCCTTCTATGGCTTCAAATGCTCCTTATCTCTCAGCTGTGAAATCATGATAGCATTGTCCCGATCTTCCAGGGCTGCTGTCTGAGCTAGAGATAAGTTTTATTACTTTACCAAACCACAAGAGGGCACTGAGTAAAGAGTGCATGCATGGTATCTATGTATGTTTATAATTACCATTTCCAACAGGAAGAACAGCAAGACTTAATCTAAAACATGCATAGAGTTAAAATGTCATCTCCCTTCCACCAGGCAGAAGTGGAAAATAAAGCAAGATGCTCTGAGGAAAGGTGGGCGGTGAGATCTCATCTGAGAGGTGTTCTTGACTGAGGAAGCAGGAGACATCCGAGAATCCGCTGTGGAACCTGGTAGTGACAGAAGAGTTGGGAGCGACCCCTAGAAACAGCATTTAATTCATTTGAAGGTAACAGAAGGTGAGGTTGCAGAACTGGGTCCTTTTAACCGCTACCGCCCCTGGATAAAGTTTGTGAGAGGAAGAGGAATAAAGAGAAAGCAGACTGGCTGGGTGCGGTGGCTCATGCCTGTAATCCCAGCACTTTGGGAAGCCAAGGCAGGCCGACTGCCTGAGGTCAGGAGTTCGAGACCAGCCTGGCTAACATGGTGAAACCCCATCCTACTAAAAATACAAAAACTAGCCAGGTGTGGTGGTGTGTGTCTGCAGTCCCAGCTACTAGGGAGGCTGAGGCAGGAGAATCGCTTCAACTGGGAGGCGGAGGTTTCAGTGAGCCGAGATCCTGCCACTAAAACTCCAGTCTGCCTGACAGTGAGATTCCGTCTAAAAAAAAAAAGAAAAAGAGAGAGAAGGCAGATCCCACCACAGGCTGACTTGGAAACGAGTTTACACTTATGATGCTTTCGGAGCCCTTGATCTATCCCCAGCATAGGCAGCGAAATGTAATTCCCTTCCTTTATTATCCTTTTATACACCCTCGGGACAGCCAGAGCTGCTGGCCTCTGTGGCAATGAATTTCCCCTAGAAGGGGGCTTGGACAGTTCATGTTCCCAGTTGCTCATCAGAAGCACTTTCTGGAAGGGGATTCTGCAGAACCTAGGGAGGCATGCTTGGAGGAATCACGAAGCCCCACATGACCCCTTCTACTAAGGACAGCGGTATCTAGCCTGTGAGTCTCCTTCAGGTTCAGTGAGCTTCATGTTCACCAGGAAGGAAGGCACATTTTTTCCTCCTTCCTTCTCTTCCTCTCCCCCTTGGGAAATGAAACCATCTGAGGAAAAAGAAGGCTGGGCTTCTTTTGTGCCGTTATTTTATAACATGGGTCAAACCAAGGAGTGACTCTCAAGACTGAGCATACATTATATTCACCAGGGAAGGGCTTTTTTTGTTTTTGTTTTTTTGACGCAGGGTCTCACTCTGTTATCCAGGCTGGAGTGTAGTCTCGAAATCATGGCTCACTGCAGCCTTGACTTCCTGGGCTCAAGCAATCCTCCTACCTCAGCCTCCCGAGTAGCTGGGAACCACAGGTGTGTGCCACCATACTTAGCTAATTAAAAAAATTGGCCGGGTGCAGTGGCTCACGCCTATAATCCCAGCACTTTGGGAGGCCGAGGTGGGTGGATCACAAGGTCAAGAGATCGAGACCATCCTGGTCAACAAGGTGAAACCCCGTCTCTACTAAAAATACAAAAAAATTAGCTGGGCATGGTGGCATGCACCTGTAGTCCCAGCTACTCAGGAGGCTGAGGCAGGAGAATTGCTTGAACCCAGGAGGCGGAGGTTGCAGTGAACCGAGATCGTGCCATTGCACTCCAGCCTGGGTAACAAGAGTGAAACTTCGTCTCAAAAAAAAAAAAAAAATTTTTTTTAGAGACAAGGACTTGCTATGTTGCTCAGACTGGTGTCTAACTCCTGAGCTGAAGTGATCCTCCTGCCTTCACCTCCCAAAATGCTGAGATTACAGGCGTGAGCCATTGTGCCTAGTTGACTGGGGAAGCTTTTAGAATAGACTGACATACATTCCCCACTGCACAACAGCTAAGTCAGAATCTTGGGGGGGGGAGTATGCATTCTATCTTTCCAGTTCTCTATAATAGCCTGGGGTGTGATGACATGAGCCATTCTGCACACCATTGTAGACCCTAAAATGCTACAAACACCTACTCAGTCCCCCATTATGCCTGTCTGTCATGGGAGGCTGGAAACGTATAGCTAAGGAAAGAGACTACGTGTGCACGGCCGGGTGCAGTGGCTCCCTGTAATCCCAGCACTTTGGGAGGCCGAGGCGGGTGGATCACGAGGTTGGGAGTTTGAGACCAGCCTGACCAACATGGTGAAACCCCATCTTTACTAAAAAAAACAAAAATTAGCCAGGTGTGGTGGCAGGTGCCTGTAATTGCAGCTACTTGGGAGACTGAGGCAGGAGAATTGCTTGAACCCGGGAGGCGGAGGTTGCAGTGAGCCAAGACTGTGCCACTGCACTCTGGCCTGGGCAACAGAGCGAGACTCCATCTTGAAAAAATAAAAAATAAAAATTGAGACTGTGTGTGCGGTCCATCAAGGGAACATGTGGCTTCTAGGCACGCCAGACACCAGAGGTGAGGCCCGAGCTGGTGAAGGGCCCACATGGAGGGAAGGATCACACGCTTGATTGAGAGGGAAAGTCAAGTGGAAAACTGCAAGAAGAAGAGGAACTGGGAGAAACAAGGTGAAGATGAATTTAATAATTTTCTTTAAATAAATTTGTTATGCTAAAAAAAAAAAACCTTTAGTCATTTTCTAGAGAATTCTTTTTGCTTAGGGATTCTTTATAGTTCCTCTCCAAGTAACATATTGGGTAATATGTGTGGTTCTGAAATAAAATGTGAGCAGGGGGGTGTACACAGGAAACTTACCACTGTGAATCAAGGGACCAGCTGTGCAGACATTATGTAATGATAATATTCTATCTTTGTGAACATGGCACTTGTGAATCAATAATTTTAGAATATTTTAGAAAGCAGGTTTTAAAAAATCACATAGGAAACGAAGTTAAAATTTAAAGTGGAATATTTTATCCCATCTTCTAAGCACCTCAAGCCTAAACAAAACACACAGAATGAAATTTTAATGATGCTTGTTAAGCCTGTTTGAAAACAAATTCCATCTGGCCCCCATACACAGATGTTCAGGCGTTGAGGTGATCAATGCCTCAGCTCTCGAATCAGAAATGCTCAAAGATCGAGGTAGAACTTGCTCAAGTTGAAAGCATGAAGCTCTGTGGAATCATTTCCAACCATCCCGCCCCCAGCTGATGACCAATTTTTACCCTGACCACAGCTGAAAATGTAAACACAAAAAGCATGAGATGTTATTGGACGAGGTGTATTAAAATAAAATCAAAAAATAGAAATATTAGGTATATACACAAAAGCATAAGTGAAACACAGGATGTGATATAGACGTTTCCATTCAAAGCTTACAGGAGAAAAATTTAGTAAACAAAACCGCTTGAACTTCCTGTGGCCATGGCTCATTAGAGCCTCGGAGTCACTTATGTTCCTTATATCCTTGGGGATAAATAGTCTCATACACAGGCTACACAATTTAGAAAAGATTGATGAATCACAAAAATAGCCCCAAATGTGGCACTTTAACTTTCTAAAGTACATCTAAAATTAATACTTGATCTTTAAAATAATGTTCAAATCTTTGAAGCAACAAAGGAAACTCTTATGTTTTAGAAGGCCCTGTAAGGTTCTTCAGAGATTAGAATCTTAGTTCTTCCAAACTACATTGTCAAAACAAATCTGGATATAGGAAATTGTGGAAATGAAAAAGCTGGACCCTTAAAAAGATTCCTTCTAAACAACAGAGCAGTTTCTGAGGCTCTTCTCCCTTTCCCGGGAGGTCCAGGTGAGGCCGGTGGTTCAGGCGGGTGCACATTGCAATGCACGGCAGCTGTGTGTGCTCATGGGCTCCTCCTGCTGGAGGAGAGAGAGATGTGCATGCCACTCATGTGGAATGTCTAGCAGGTCTGAGCAGTGTTCATGGAAGAAAAATGTTTAACAGTCTCAGATTTTGGGAGATAGGGAAAAAAAAAAAAACATTGAAATCTGGGAAAGACATTTGTAAGCTGCTGACTTTACCTGCAAAATCTAACAGGTTGGATTAGTAATTTTTTTTTAGCAAGTAAGCCAAAGCAGAGAGAAAATACAAAGAAACGTCATGCTATGCATCTGGTTATTTTAGCTTTATAAATGACGTAGTTCTGCTATTATTGGGGATTGATTGCCGTGGTCTCTGAAACTTTGAGTCATATGTCCAATTGTAAACATACAGCTAGTTGGGTACATTTTTGGAGAGAACAGGTGTTTTCTTCTCAAAAGGCTGCACTCAGATGTCCAGCAGAGCGAGATTACCAGCGGCTGAGGCCAAGGCCACGCTGCAGCTGGGTAGAGCATCCATTTAAGAGTACAGAATACTTTCCCATTGAGAGGGTGTTCTTCCTGAGTAATTGAGTCTCTATTTCAGGATCCAGGCACCACAGATAATCCCGGCACATGAAATAATAAGTGCAACCAGTGATAGTTACTTTTCCTCTCTAAATGTGGTGGCCACCCCTGTGGAACGGACGGGTCTCCCTGCACTCTAAGGCTGCTGCTGGTACTGCCCTTCCGTGGCCGTGTAGAAATCATCCAGCACGCTCTGTAAGTAATCAAATGTTGGTCTCTCTTCTGCCTTTTCTTTCCAGCACATTTTCATAATGTCATAGAGCTCATCTGGGCAGTTCTCCACGCGGGGCATCCTGTAGCCCTGGGACAGGGCGGTCATCACGTCGGCGTTTGTTCTCCCTAGGGTGGAAAAAAAAAACCATGCCATTTAGAAACCTGGCAGAGGGTCAAGCACTGCAGTGGTCTTTTTGCTCCTCACAGCCTGCGACCATGATAGAAACGAACTTTACTGAGCCTGCTAGGGTTTGAACGGCATCCTCCCAAAATTCCTAGGTTGAAGTTTGAACACCAAGTACACCTCAGAATTGACTGCACCATATTTAGAGATGAGGCCTTTATAGAGGTAACTAAGTTAACATAAGGCCATTTGGGGGGGCGGTCTTAATCCCGTATGACTAGTATCCTTATAAGAGGAGATTAGAACACAGACTAGTAGAGGGGAAAGACCACGTGAAAACACCGGGAGAAGGCAGCCATCTCCAAGGCCAGAAGCGAGGCCGCAGGAGAAACCAACCCTGCCAGCACCGTGACCTTGGACTTCCAAACTCCAGAACCCTGGAAAAATAAATGTCTGTTGTTTAAACTACCCAGTCTGTTATATGGTTATGGCAGCCCTTGCCAACTAATATAGAAGCTAAGGAAACTTCTGCAAGCAATTCAATAAATTTTAGCATGGAGGGCATCAAGACAGCATTTAGTTTGTGAAAACAAAAACAGGCAAATTTGTTAAATAGAAGCCACAGCAAGTTCTCTTTAATAATGAAAGGATATTGGACTTGGTGACATTTCAGATGAGTCACCCAGATCCAGTCCTAACTCTCAACTTTAATTACGTTTGCAGGGTAGCATGCTTTCAGCTTCAACCTGTAGTATATTTATTTATATAAAAATTTTTTTTAATCGCACATTATCTTCCACAGACATTTTTCAAAAATTGGTTTTTCATTTAATAACTGGTATTTTCATTTACTTAAAGTCAGCATCCTTAAGTGAGCCTGACCAACTGATTACATGCTTGCCAAATAGTTAAAAACTCAGGGATTAATTTGGAAAATAATAACAGTTCAGGTAATCTGAAGGACATTTGTCTGTAGTTTCTGTATATGCTACATATCTTGTAAATGTCACTGTCTTTTAAGAGCAAGATATTAGCTGAGGAGGAAAACTCATCCCCAATCATAGCCTCAAGTGGAGTCGCTTCACAGACGCAGTTAACTGTTCCAATCTGCAGGANTGCCCAGCCAGTCCTTTCTTTTTCCTGTATAAAATTCATAGAGAAATATAATCACAGTTTTGGTTTTAAGATAATAAAGATCTTAAGCCGGGCACGGTAGCTCATGCCTGTAATCCCAGCTACTCAGGATTCTGAGGCAGGAGAATTGCCTGAACCCAGGAGGCGGAGGTTGCGGTGAGCCGAGATCGCGCCATTGCACTCCAGCCCGGGTAACAAGAGTGAAACTACGTCTCAAAAAAAAAAAAAAAAAAAAAAGACAATAAAGATCTTTTGCCTCCTCCCCACTATTTTTTTTCTGTAATTCACCTCAAAACAAAAAAGAGAACAAGGAATAGAAACCTAAACTCCATCTCTGATGATGGTAAGAGACACCTGGCAGCCAGAGGCAGAAGTGGTCTCAGCCAAGAGGAAGAAAATGCACGAGAAAGTTCAACCAACGTGCCTGCAGAGAGGGGCACTGACGACAGGCAGAGCGGCCCATCCCGACTCACCCTGGGGAGGCTCACACTGCAGACAGCACACACCCACCACACATCACGAGGGAGAGAGGCCAGCACCGAGGGCAGGGCAGTACCTGGAGCCCACCTGGCCGTGCCCAGGCGAATGTCAGAAGAAACAATGGAGAAGCTCCCTGCAGGGAATGCCGGGCCCAAGTGGAGGTGGGGAAAGTGCGGTATGGAAGACCAGGAGTGAGGAGAAGGGCTGAAGACAAGGACCACACCGTGCATGGACCTTGAGGGTTATGCTGAGTGACATAAACCAGACACTTGGGCAAAACTGCATGACTCCCATTATAGGACGTCTCTAGAGGAGAAACTGAGAACACTGGTTGCCTATGCGGGGGGAATTGCGTGGCTGGGAATAGAGTGGGGCACCTTTCACCTTATACCTCTTTGGAGCTCCTGAACTTAAAACCATGTGGCTGGCTGGGTGTGGTGGCTCACATCTGTAATTCCAGCAGTTTGGGAGGTTGAGGAGGGAGGATCAGTTGACCCAGGAGTTAGAAATCAGCCTGAACAACATAGTGAGACCTTGTCTCTAGAAAAAATTTATAAATTAGCTGGGTGTGGGGGCATGCGCCTGTAGTCCTAGCTACTCAGGAGGCTGAGGCAGGAGGACCACTTGAGCCCAAGACTTAAAGGCTGCAGTGAGCTGTGATCACGCCACTACATTCCAGCCTGGGTGACAGAGCAAAACCCTGTCAAATAAATAAATCAATGAAAACGAAAACTATGTGGCCACAATCTTATCTAATAATAAGTGGAAAAACTTAATTAAGAGATACAAGTTATGAGTAGAATATTTAGAACTATATGTAGCCAATGTTAGAGTAAGGAAATCAAAATTCCTGAAAGTAGATTCCTTTGAGGAGCACCTGGTGGGGCCAGGACAGTTTTTCATTACAGGCCTTTTTATATGACTTTTTAAATGTGCATATATTACTTAGATAATAATAAAATATTTAATAAAAATATTGTACTTTTTTTTTTTTTTGTTTTTTTAGAGATGGGGTTTCACCGTGTTGACCAGGATGGTCTCGATCTCTTGACCTCGTGATCCACCCTCCTCGGCCTCCCAAAGTGCTGGGAGTACAGGCTTGAGCCACAGCGCCCGGCCTCAGAACCTTCTTTTGAATGCATTCTCTAATCAGTGTTTTTCAAATTCTGGGGCACTATCCATTTGGGATCAACGAATTGAGTTTTTCAGTGTACTTTTTTTTTTGAGGTGGAGTCTCCCTGTTTCACCCAAGCTGAAGTACAAGGGTGTGATCTCAGCTCACCACAACATCGCCTCCTGGGTTCAAGCAATTCTCCTGCCTCAGCCTCCCGAGTAGTTGGGATTACAGGTGCCCACTACCAGGCCCAGCTAATTTTTGTGTTTTTGGTAGAGACGGGGTTTCACTATGTTGGCCAGGCTGGTCTCAAACTCCCGACCTCCAGTGATCTGCCCATCTCAGCCTCCCAAAGTGCTGAGATTACAAGCATGAGCCACCACGTCCAGCCAACTACCAGTAGTTTTAAAAATGAATTATAACAGAATAAAACCGAAAAGGTCAGAAAGCACTGCACATAGGAAAGGTCAACATGGTTTTATGAAACGTTTGCTTTATATACGGAGAATGTTTCTGTGTATTTCTCACAATGGTTTATGGCCAGTGAACTTTGAGAGCCTCTGCCTTTAACTCACCTTTTTCCATCTAAGGACACAGTGACCTTTCCTGAATTTAAACCCCTGAAAGAGGACATGATCATTTCTGTCTTGGAAGAGCCCTTGTTTTTGAAATGGGAAGAGCCAAGCAAACTTTATAATGATTCCTGTCACTTAAGAACTGTTTATCTAGCGCATCAGTTTTCCTGAGTCTAATTCTGAAACACTATTTTCAAATATTTGTGTAACTAGAATTTTCTAACTAAAAGACTTCACTTGATTCTAATTGTTCAAAGCTAAAGACAGATTTGTATCACCCTCCTTATTTGGGGGTTTTAGTCTCCATAAAATGATGGAGCCTACAGCATTGTTCTGGCTCTTTTAACTAGCCGAGTTCACTTGGATAAATTTCAGAAGAAAGATCTGTGTATACTTCTACTTTCCTGGGTGAAATTCTGGGCTCATGGTGGGAGGGCTAACATCCAGTGTAATATAAATAGCAACTGGACCTGCAAACTCAGTTTGGAATATCTCTTTCAATTCCTTCCTGGAGAACTCTCATTTGCATAAAAGGTCAGAATGCAGCCACAGCAGAAGATAAAGCTTTCTAGGTCACCCTGGTCCCACAGCAGGTTTTTTTCTTCCTGGTTCCAGCAGGTTCTCCTAGCTCTGAAGGACTTCCCATGACGCTGATAAAGGCCGGCATGCTCCACCCCGTCTGGGGAATTTGACTTGATAAGAAGAATTGGAAGCACGGAATCTGAAGCCCCTCCTTTTATGTACAAGTAAAACAACAAATAAAATCCGCTGTTAAATGGCAAGTCCTGTGAAAGAAAGAGAAGGGGAGAGGGACCTCAACCAGACCCTAAGAATACAGGTGAGAGTTGGTGTCAGCCTGTTGCTAAGTTAAAGTAAACGCCCATTGGCTTGGTGATCTTAGAATGATCTTAGAAGGCATACAGTTTCATTCTCATCCTTCCCCCTTTCAACAAGCACTTACTGAGTGCTCACTACCGGTCATGAACTAGCACTGAGTTCTGAGACATGCAGAGACAGTTAAGACAGAACGTCGTCCTCAGATGGCACACAGCCCAGTTGGGACAATGTCCTCACTAGAAGGAGGTGGCGGGGAGCAGGAGGTGGCATCTGGAGTGGGTAGAAATCAGCAGAGACTAACAGTTGGTAAAGGAGGTTAAAGAGAAACAAAAATTGGTAAAGAAGCAGAAGAAGGAGAAAAATGTGGTACAGCCGAGAAAAGGAACACGCAGTGACAGGGAGGAGCCCAGCTGCTCCACAAACTGTGACCGTCTTCAGTGACACAGGGCCCCCTGTGTGTGTGTATATCAGCAAGAGTCAGATACCCTGGGACTAGTCTCCCACCCAACCATACTCCTTCCAAAAGGGCAGGTTATTAGTATGATTATTTTCTGAGCTTTGCTTGTGACCAAGGTGAGTGTTTGCAGGAGGACACATTTCTTGATTCTATTCAGCTGGCATTAAGATGCTAGATACATCTGGTCAGAAACAGCCAGAAAAGACGTAATGCTTCAGGAAACTTTTTTGCTTTCAAACTTTCGCTTTATATAGACAAAGCAAAGCAAGACCCCAACTAGGACTCCAACAAGTCACCTTCGCCTTTGAGACAGGGTCTCACTGTGTCACCCAGGCTGGAGTACCCTGGTGCGATTGTGGCTCACTGCAGCCTCAACCTCCCTGGGCTCAGTGATCCTCCCACCTC